TAAAAAAATTTTCCCGATAAGAACCGATAAAAACAAAACTTATCAGAATATTTTTTTACATGTGTAAAAAAAAATATATATATATGTTAATCGAGTTAGTGGAAGTTTTATAACCAAGCCATAAATAATAAAGTAATAGGTTAATTTACCTGTATTAGGTCCAAAATCCGAGGTGATATAATGTGTGTCTGTGTAATTTTTGAATCGGATGTAACTAGGTTTTGAGACTAAAAGTCGTTGCGTCAGCCCGTTTAAATCCTGATCAGTATCTGGGAGGGCACGGGAATGCGGAAGCTGCCGTCCCAGACGTAAAGCGTGGATAGAAATACACCGCAGGGCTGAATAAGAAACAAACATTGTTCGCTCCACCCATAGCAACCAAAAAACACACATTGTTAGCTCCACCCACAGCAACCAAAAAACACACAACATTCTGATGTGAAGAAACTTTCAGCTGGTGGTCATTAGTTACCACAGCCACAACGTCCTAAACCCCGCACATTTCTACAATTTCTCTTCTTATTAATATGTGATTTTAAACATAACTTTATCCTTAACCCTAACCTTAACCACACTGCTAACCTTATGCCTAACCCTAACCTTAACCACACTGCTAACCTTATGCCTAACCCTAACCTTAACCACACTGCTAACCTTATGCCTAACATGAACCTTACATTAAGACCGAAAGCGCATTTTTGTTTTCGTGTTTTTATTACGCCAAATTGTGTCTATAAACATAAATGTATTACTTATTTATACATTTGACATATGTATATATATATATATATATATATATATATATATATATATATATATATATATATATATATGCATTAGCAAAGAAAATGGCATATTATTATATTATAGACCTGATATAGTGTCATCTATTCTCATCTAAGACCCTAAGGCAGGGTTCTTCGATTCCGGTCCTGGAGGGCCGAAACACTTCTGTTTTTTATTTCTACCTGGTAGTTAATTGCACTCACCTGGTGTCCCAGGTCTGAATTAGCCCCTGATTAGAAGGAGAGGATGAAAAACAAGAGGTGTTTCGGCCCTCCAGGACCGGAATTGAAGAACCCTGCCCTAAAGGCTGGGCATCTGCAAGGGAAGGGTGCAAGGCAATTTAATAAGCAAATCAATCAATCAGTTAAATAATCAATAAGTTATTCCACACCTGTACGTGTGTGTGTTGTGATGCTTGGTTGGTTGTGACCACTGGTTGTTTATTTGGAGAGCATTCCTTGCAGTGTTAGCGCCCCATAGTGGGATAATATATTTCTGATTGTGACATTAGGCTACATTTACATTTTACATTTTAGTCATTTAGCAGACGCTCTTATCCAGAGCGACTTACAGGAGAATTACACAAAATACTAACTCTGATCAATGATAATACCTTAAGTGGATGCTAAACACCTACAATGTAAATGCAGTGTGATGTATACAAAATCAACAGATGAACTGAAAAATAGAAAATATGTTTGTTGGCATCGGTTACTGAAGTATTTATCCTTAATCACCTCTATCAAGAGCTGTGTACTTTGTATATAAGACAGGAATCCTACACAAACCGTCTCTGTCTGGGACTTGATTTAGATATTAGATATTAGTCAGGTGCTTGAAGTCAAAGACAGTCCTACACGATCATGATGCCCTCAGCTGTGGACCAATCGGAACAAGCAGCTATACTTCTATCTGAACCTCCACCACAAATGTCCCTCCTGGGTTATTTTTAATATGATTTAATTTGGTT